GATAATATGAAAGCGCACTAGTAACTTGGTGTTATAAAACATATTGTTTGTGTGTCATTCGGTGAGTGAGTGCAAGCAAGCATTGTATCAAAGTTTATCCGTTCCTTTTATCCAAAGTAGGATAAAAGCGATATCTTTGGGCCCCTCGATGGTTTAGTGATGACAAACGTAAATGCTCGGTCAGGCTAGGGCTAATTTGATTTGTTCAATTAGTCAGTCGTCATAAATCAGGAAACCGAGAAATAGTACAAAGAGAATGATTAGAATCATATCTCATACAATATTTATAATGGAGGAATATATGATCCCTTTATCTTAGGACAACGCGTATCTGATAGGATTAGAGTTGACAGCGGCTTTGGAAAGCTACGATTGCAGATCAGGATCTGAAGTCATTACGCATAATAGTTATTAGACTTATCCAAGTGGGAGACTGTTGGATTAATGTCTAAGTCCATAACTATTTTGGTATGTACTTGACCCAATGGTGCATGGTCCTTTTGGGTTGCCTTCACCAAAGCAACTTGATATGATGAATTATGGAGAGAAAGGACTAAATATGATTTATTAATATATTATGGGAATAATATATTAAGGAGAAATCATATTGTTTAATTAATATTAGTCAATAATTAATTGGTAATTAGTTTTGTGACTAAAAGAGATTAATTAAATTTAAGGGACTCGAATTGTAATTATAAGATAATTATAATTTTGGCCATGGATTCCCTTGTATCAAGGGTTGGACGAATTCTATGGGGAAGCCCATAAGGAAGTCGACCAAGGGCTTGATTAAAAGGAGTCTATGGGTTGCTTAGGGCTTAAGCATCCAAATTAGAGTTTCCTTGTTAAATAACCCTAATAGCCCAAATATAAAAAGACCCTTAAGGCTCAAAAAACGTGGCTAAGCTTCTTGTTAGGGTTTCTACACGTTTTTGGCAGCCTCCAACCTCTCTCCTCTTCATCCTCTTGCTTATGGTGTTTGTGAACCATTAGAGGAGTGACACTTGTGACTCTAAGCCTTCCAAAGTCAATTCAATGGGATTGGGATTGTTATTGCTACATAACAATCAAGGTAACATTATGAACTCATTCTTATGTTAATATGATTACTTGCATGCTAGGATTAGGGTTTATAGTCTTGGATTCAAAGCATGTACAATAGAGAAAACCTAGATCCAAGCATTAGGGTTTGTATGAGCACATAGGATGTCTTATGACTAAAACCCATCATTTTTATCTAGTAACTTAGGATCAATCTGTTCTGTCATTGATAGCATTTCTAAAATTTATCAAAATTTTTTCGTGCTTAAGTGGACCACAATACCGGTAATCGACCAGATCTATTCATGAAGGGGAAGGTACTGATAAATGGATTAAGACTGTCTAACAACTTTGATGCCAAATATTTTTGTTTTTGTTAAATTGTTTCATAGTTTTCCTTTCTGCACAAATTTTGGGGGAGAATTAAAAAAAAAATTCAAAAATCAAACAAAAATTAAAAAAATCAAAAAATCAAACAAAAAATAGAAAATTAAAAAAACAAAAAGTGGTGTTATTTATGTTTTATTTTTTTAAAAAAATATCAAAAATCCAAAAATATTTTTTCTGTGCTAATTTTTCTTTTAGTTTTGTTTTGTCTTGAAAAGTGATTTCAGGCGTAGATGAGACTCGTGGAGATTGTATCAAGATTTTTGAGCCAAAGCTTCATCCGTGATCATTGAAGAATTCTCATTCGAAGGAGCAAGAAAGGAAGATTATTCTTTCGGCATTCAATCCTTCAACCCCAGAAGCAAGGTGAAGCTGACTTCAAAATTATGTGATGGATTGTTGTTAGTGTGCAAAGTCATGCTTGGATGTAATGTTTTAGGCTTTCCTCTTTGTATGTGTAAATGGGTTGAGTCTTTCCTATAAATAGGATGTGAGTGACTCCCATTATGTAAGAGTCCATCATAGAGTGTTAGACTAGAGAGAGAAATTGTATACAAGACCCATTTGTATAATCTTTCTAGATCTAATAAGAGCTTACAAAGATTTATTTATTCCTTGTGTTCTTGAATTTGTATGATGAATCATTAGATCTTTTCTAATTCCGCATATGCCATCAGAATCAATTCCACATCAATTGGTATCAGAGCGGGTGTTCTTGATTTTCATTAAGAATTGATCCTTGATGGCTACCTTGATTTGGTGATTCTTCATGTTCTTATGGATCTTCGTGATTAGAGTGTTTTTTGTGTTCTTGAAGTCAAATTTTTCCTTGATTTGATCCATAATTCGACTTTCTCTCTCTAGAATACTTGTTTGTATCACTTTCTCTCACTAGAATTTGATTCATATTCACTTTCTCTCTCTAGAAAACTTAAGTTCATATCGATTGATCAAAGATGGAAGAAAAAATTTGTGAAATTTTTGTTGTGGAGGATTATCCATGGTCATTTAGTTTTGAAGGAGTTCTCAATTGTTTTGTAACCGGGTATTTCAAACAAAATTCACTCATTTCTAGTATGAAATGTGAATGTGGAATATTCAAGGGTTATCCTCTTGATCATGATCATCATAAGATGTTGCTTAATCGTTTGGTAACAACTTATCATGAAAGAAGAAAGAAGAAGAAAGATGATGAAGTAATTGAAGGAATTCGTCTTGATGAATGCATACATGGTGATAATGTTCTTGCTTCTTACCCGGATGTTCTTGATGTTCAAGAAAAAGGAGTTCAAGTTGATTTTCAAGATGAAAAAGTTTTTTGCTCAATTGGAGTTCAAACCGATGATATTTTGTGTTCTTGTGATTTGTTTGAAGGAATGATTCCTTATCGAAAGTCGGTGATCCAAGAAAATCACAAGTATCAAACTCCAAAAGATTTGATTCAAACTCAAAATGTTCATGTTGTTGAAAGGGGGTTGTTCATGAAGTCAAGTCTTCAAGATGCAAAAAGTTGAAAAAGAAAAAGAAGATGAAGATGAATCGGAAGAATAAGCGGGTTTACTCACAAAAATCGTCATATGTTGTGAAGCCAAAATCCGTGAAACAAATTTGGGTTCCAAAGCAACAATCTCCAAGTGTTGAATTGAATTTGAAGTCAAAACCCAAATGTGTTGGTGGTTCTTTTGAAGATGTTCTTGGTTTGATGAAGAACACGAAGAACACGAAGAACGAGTTGTACATCTCGCATGGTGGGTGGTACAATGTTCGATTTGGAGATTTTCTCATTCCAACAAAAGAACCAAGATCTTCCAAATTTGATTCATTCGTTGAAAATGGATCTCGATTCGTGAAAAAGGTAACTCAAATTATCAAATGGATTCCAAAACGTCCATGATTTCGATTCATACTTTACGTTTTTCATTTTTGATCGATTTGCCTCATTGGATCAAACCTGTTTCAACCCCATTAATTGATCCAATTATTTTTTTTGATCAAAAATCCTAAAAATCAAAATCAACACTACTAGAAAAATAGCCTTTTACGACGCGCGAATCATGACACGCAGTGATTTATGATACGCAAAGGTGAGTATCTAAAAAATAATGTCATCTCTTCCAAAATTTAAAGGATTTCAGACGCGCATTTTTGCTTGCCCTAAAATTAGTGTCTAAACAAAAAAAAAATAAAAACACGGAAGGCACCTGCGTGTCATCTACGACTGTCGCTTTATAAATTTTAATAGAACGCGCGCGTTCCATCAGGGGAAAATGAAATCCCAAAAACTTAAAATCCCCGCCTTCCTAATTTTTTTCTCCCTCCACTTTAATTTCCCTAGTAGCTAGGGCTTTTTTCAAGAACTTGCCCCGATTATGCCCTCCTGTACTGCTCGTTCTCTCTTCAACTTCCCTTTCTCTCCTTCTCACTTTGACAAACCCTTTCTCTTCTTCTCAGTTCTCGACGTCGACAGCTTCTCCCACCTCCGACGTTTCTCTTGGTGTTGGCGCCTCGCACCTCTAACCTCCGTCTAGCCCCGCCCCACCGTCCAGGATCCAACATCCTCCGCTTCATAACCTCCTCCAGAAGATTCCAATCTTCCAATGAGATCTGAACGCGTTGAATCTTTCCACTGTTTTTCAATCGAGATGGATCTACGACAACGCCATTTTTACTCGTTAGAGGTGGAGATCGAGCAGGAACTTATTTCAGAACCTTGTCTCTGAATCTCACGAGGCTTATTAAACGATGAAGCCAGATGATTAACTCAAGTATGTATCGATCCATCTTCTATTTACCAGCGTGATAAAGTGTTTGAAGTCGAATAACATTATTGCTCTGTGTTGTCTTCTTCCCAAACTCATTGTTGTTGAAAAAACGAGTCTAATTAGGTCAATTATCAATGAACCACTATATCTACAAGTGACATATCACAGGCATCAGAATCTTAATTAGGTTTTAATTCTTATGTTTATACCCCTTTTTTATTTGCCTGTTTCAATTCCGTTTGTCATAGTGATGACGAAAACCCTAATCAATGTGTGTTTTTCTTGCATTTATTGGAGAATTTATTTCATCTTAAAACCTAAAATTTCTCTTTTGGTTTAATAAATAGTGTTTAGGGCCTGCCTGCACACCAAATAATTGAAGCTGGAGAAGACGACGAGTCTGAATTGAAGTTAAAGCCATAGAAGACGAGGCATCTGATGCCCTGGGTTCTGGAGAAGACTATTCAAACAAGTATTCGTTGATTGCAAATCTTAATAAAACATACGGTTCTCTCACTCTCAGGTTACAAAAGTTCTTGATCCTCCTAATTTTCTTCTTTCTGAAAATCTCAACTGTTGAAGTGAAGTTTTCTATCAGTAGCACCATACTATTTAGTGTTTCTGTGTTTAGTTTTGACTGATACCAAAAATTGAAAGATAAGAGATTTTTGTGCCATTTGGTTTGGCGATTTAAGGAATGAATATAGGAATTGAAACTTGATTTGAGCTTCAATATTTGAATTGGACATCTTATTATCTTTAGGCGAGCTTAATTTTTGGATTCATTGATGCGACAAAGGAAGAAGAATGGTGATGTTTTGGTGTCGGACTAAACAATCACAGCTCAGAAGCCCTAAAACCAATACAAGTAATCAATTATCTACTTCAATCTTTTTTCTAATCATTTGCTGATTGATTTCTTTTTCTAATAAATCATATTTGTTAATGCAGAGCTACCCAATAATACCTTCGTTTTTCTCGATTCTCATTCAGAGGTTGCACTTGCACTCTTTTTCTACAAAAAATGAATTTATATTGTAGGATTAGAGAAATATTTATATAATTTTATTGTTTTTTAGGTAGCCCTGGCTTCGAGCCATCGGATGATGCGTCTCCCCTGTCATTTAAGGGACTCACTGCTTCATGAAATAGAACTCGGCATTCTTAAGGTTTTAGAAAATAAAGAGATCGAGAAAATGATTCTCTCAGATATTTTCTGCAGATGTGCTTTTTTGTCAAATTTCCTGTATGGTTCGTATGTTACAAGGTATTTTTATTCTCTAATCTTGGTGATTTTTATTTAAAATATAAAAGGAAATTTTACCAAATCATTTTGTTGCATTAGGTTGAAAGAAGAAAATTTCTTTCTTCTCCAAAGTTGGTCAGTACATGTTAGAAATGCTGAGTCATGCTGTTTCAGTGATTGAAAAACGTTCCAGTGATATTTTTATTTAAAATATAAAAGGAAATTTTACCAAATCATTTACTTTATATTCTTTATTATTGCTTGCAGTGAATGTGTTGGAATTGGAATTGGCTAGCATATTTGGCGGATTGTTGGTGATTAGTCATAATGTAAGTAATAAGTTGCATATTAGTGTATATGTATGTATTTTGCTTTGATGTTGTTTGTTTACAATTACAGCTTTGGGACCTGAGAAACGAAGGCAGATGATCTTCTTCTTCAGAAGAGGATCGATACCAACAACTTTTGGGGCGAAGAGAGGATTTCCCGCTTCACATGTTGGTTTCTCTGTTATCGTACCTGGTGTTTGGGTTCCTTCCACCGGTTGTATCTGGGTTTTCATTCCGTGAGAGCAACGACAAAATCAGGGCTACCTCCTAAACATGTTGAAAATCAGGGCTACCTCCTAAACATGTTGAGAGGTATTAATGACCCCCTCAATTTATAATCAAATCAAGTTTCTTTTGAATCATAGTGTGACTTGAGTTGTGTTTTAATTTATGTTTATCATTTAGGTTTGTATTTGCGGTTCAAGTTTTGGTGATTCTCACTAATGTTTCAGGAATTTGCCAAACACTGATGGTATAGAACCCTTTAATCTTGAATTTTCTCTTGTGTAGTAAGATTTATATGAACATTAAAGTTACATGTTTTGTGCCAAATTTTGAAGTTGAATAGCATTCCTGAAAGATATTGTTATAAAGAAGAGGGAAAAATGCTTCAATCAAGTAAATGTATTCCTGAACAGTTAATATTTGTCATTGAACTGTAGGTAGACTCGTTTGCTTACCTACCTCCTAACTCAAAGCATCACTTTGAGAGTTATGAATCTTCTACACTTGTTGTATTTGAAAAAAGGTATGTTATTCCTTCTCTTTATTTCATCCTGCATCTGTGTGTGTGTTATCAATTAACCACAAGGGCTAAAAAGTAATTTAACTTTTGTGTAGGTATGCTTACCTAGAAGATCATATTCCCGAGCCAATTGTTGGCTCCACCAATTAGCAGCCACTTCTTGATACCCCTGGAGACGTATGTACTTTTTTAACAATCAACCTAGTAGAATAAGAGTCCACTTTTTTACTATTAATTTTTTTACTGTTTCCATATTAGGTATTCCATATTAATTTTTTTAACAATCAACCTAGAATAAGACATCACTGCCCTTTTGAGTCTCAAGAAAATGCAAAACCCTGCAGTGACACTGTTACCTTTTGGTTTACCAATCCAATCTACATGTCACTTTCCTTAGTAACTGATTCACTAGGATCCATCAAAGGCTCTATCTTTCTGCTGAAGAGAACCGTCCCCTTTGATTACTGATAAATTGATGGTCATTCATATTTTCTTTATCTATCCCCTCAAAATGAAATGTATCTCAATTATTGCAGTTTCAAACTGAGAAGAAGCATTCAGATTGTCTGGATGTCTTAAGCGAGACACATAACAGAGCCTCAGATCAAAAGATCCAGATTGGTGCTGATCCGGGTGATGGTTACACAAAGCACATTTTTAGAGGCTAGATGCAAGTAGTCTCTCTCTTTCTCTATCTCCTTTTTTTTTAAATAAATTTGGTTCTCATTGTTGGCTTCTGAATAGCTTTTATTAATCCTTGTAATTATATTTTTATCTTTTTTCTATCAGATGTGCATCCTCAGTTCAGTCCTTGATAAGTGCCTAAGGCTGCTTGGTTTTGAGTCGGCAGCACCTTGCGATACCTCTTGCAAACTCAGGTATGTAGCTTTATTATTCCGAATAGCTCTTGTTTTCTAGTATTAGAAGATCATATGTATTGATTTCATGCATAACAATAGAGAGATATTGTAGCATCTTTAATAGAGCTATGTAGCATTATAATCCTTCAAATGTGATGGAAACATATGAGGTGCAACGAATAAGCAAAGAAAACTCTTAATCCCAATGATGTCAATAATCTTCCAGAAACTAAAAATCTTCATTGTTTGTACGATGCATGATATATTTGCATCCCATGCTATATTATTTAGATGCTTTAACTTTCATTAATTGGTTTGAATGTTGGTGTTTAGTAATTAAACTCAATTTATTCCTCTTTTTATTAACAAATTTTATTTATTCATGATCTTCAGCTATCTTCTGCTTGTGGGCGGCTTGTAATTTCAAGTGATGGAGTCTGGGATACTCTTTCCACTGAATCAGCTCTGGAATGCAGTCGCGGATTGGCTCCGGAATTTGCAGCAGCACAAATTGTCAAAGTGCGGAAACAAAAAAATGTCAAATTTGTAATAAAATATTATGCAATGGATTCTATTTTTGTATGACATTAAATTTTATGAAATGGATTATATTTTTTGTATATGATATTTTATTTTCTATTATGATGCATTAAATGCAAATTTAATTTGAAAATTAGTAAATCTATAAAAAAAATTTTTTTAAACATTTAAAATTATGATACGCAAAAATGTGTGTCATCTTCATTTATGATATGGCCTTTCTTGATAGGGGCTTTCTTGATACGCATTGTGTGTCATTAACACGCGCGTCGTAAGATTACGACACGCGAATGCGTGTTGTCTTCCTTTATGACAGGGTCTTCCTTGATACGCATTGCGTGTCGTAAAGGCGCGTCGTAACTACACGTCGTCTATAGACGACGCGCAAAAGCGCGTCGTCTCTCTTTATGACAGGGCCTTCCTTGACGCGCATTTGCGCGTCGTCTAAGCCATTTACGACGCGCAATGAGCGTCGTAAAAGGCTGTTTTTCTAGTAGTGCAAAATCATTTTACTTCCATGTTCGTGTAAACATTTAACTCAAAATTCCACTATTGTTCATCTAATCACTTTTGAGCCCAATCAATTAATCTGTTTACTGTTTATCGACCAAAATTCAAGTCCATTCTTAATTTACGATACTGTTCGTCAATTCATTCCCTTGCCCAAAAATTCTTTTTGATCTTTCATTATTCCTTAAGCCTGACTATCATTCGCATCATAGAAAGTCAAAATTATCTCGATGTCGACGGTATTTGTTAATTGAGTTCGTGACGATTGCAAATCTGGAATCGAAATCGAGTTAGATGGTCATAAACATCGCAATCAATTTTGATTTGTACTTGGAATGAGTCGACTAAAAATCGAACGTCGATTCAACTGATGTTTGTTGATCGAATTGGAAGAGTTTTGAGAATTTGATTGTGATTTTGAAATAAGTTCATGTATTGGTGTCAATGTCTAAATCGATGACTGAAGCTGATTACGGGAATAGTTTCGAAGGGAAGGGAAGGTGTATGATGTTTTCTGTATTTTCGATTTGTGTTTGAGGTTGATGGTCATAAGAAAGATTCTGAAGGATTGAGAACAAAGATCAATTTTGATTGATGATTTTGGAATCAACATACTATTGGTGTTACAGTCGCAAGTAGACGTGAAGCCCTTGGATTTCGATTTTGAATTTTGATGGCTTGATTTGTCTTAATATCGATATTTTGAAATCGAATTATAGACTCGATTATATGTTAGTCGATTTTAAGTCAAAAGACATGATGCATTTGAAGTTAACTGTGGTGGTTATGAAGAAGATTGATGACGATTGCAGATTTGGAGTCGATGGGTTGGGGATAAACAACGAACTAGGAAGAACTGGTTTTGGATATCGTTTGAGTGATAGAAACGAAGAGTATTTGATTTGGGTTTGAAGAACTGGAAGAAAAAAATTTTGAGAACAAATTTCTTGAAAACGAACGATGCCATGAAAAATGTTTGCAGATAGTCGACTTGGAAGATGATGTTCGCAAGTCTAATTCATGTGACTGCATTTTGCATTTGGTGTTTAGTTCGAATTTGGAGTCAAAATGCGAAGATATCTAATTCATGATTCGCATTTGGTGAGATAAAGATGCGAAAATTGATTGTGTGTGAAATGCGAAGTGTGCGAAGAATGAAATATGCGAATCTGAAACATAAGAAGATGTTTTTACAGTATAAATGCGAATTGGGGAAGAAAGCCAAAAGTTTCGCAATTGGCCCCTAAACTTTTTCACGAAGTGACAATATTGACCCAACTTCGCATGATTGGAGAACAAAAGGGAAGAAGATTCGAAAACGGTCCCTGGAGTTTCGCATTTTTGGAAATAAATACCCAACTTCGCAAATAGCAATAAAAGCTGAGAAATTTCAACATTTTCAGTTTTGGTCCCTTCAGTTTGTGCGAATTTACGCTTTATGCCCGGTTTTGCAAATGGGCTAAAGTTTCGCATATTTGACTGTTTTTGGCGCAACGGGTCCCTGCAAGTTTCAGAAAGTGACAATTTCTACCCGGATTTTGAAAAATCTTGCGACTTTCACCCAAAAAGTCAAAATTTTTGATTAATTGGAAATTTTTTGTGGCTTTTTCGTGATTGTTTTTCCATGCAAGATTTTTGGTGATTTATTTTTGGTACATATCAAGGGGGAGTATTGTGAAGATTACTCCTCGGGCGCTTCTCATCCTTAGTGGGTTTTATAATCATTTTTTTATTATAAAAAGGGGGAGAATATGATGGGTATTCGAAGCTTCTCGGGTTTTTCGAATATTCATTTGCGGATTTGAAGACCGGTGTTACTTCGAGGGGGAGTTTGGTCTTGATCGCGCTAGCTCGTTGGAGATTAAAGCTGGACATCCAATCCTAACTTTGAGGGGGAGAATGTTAGTGTGCAAAGTCATGCTTGGATGTAATTTTTTAGGCTTTCCTCTTTGTATGTGTAAATGGGTTGAGTCTTTCCTATAAATAGGAAGTGAGTGACTCCCATTATGTAAGAGTCCATCATGGAGTGTTAGACTAGAGAGAGAAATTGTATACAAGACCCATTTGTATAATCTTTCTAGATCTAATAAGAGATTACAAAGATTTATTTACTCCTTGTGTTCTTGAATTTGTATGATGAATCATTATATCTTTTCTAATTCCCGCATATGCCATCAGAATCAACTCCACATCAATTGTATTGAAGTCCCCTCAATCAGTCTGCTGCTATCATGTACCTGTTGAAGTAATCTAGAAGATTATGTCTCTCCGTTGTTGTCTCTGAATATTCTCAAGATGAAAGTGCTATCTTTCAAGAATCGTTTCATCAAGCCTCCTCACTCAATGTGCGTTCAGAGTCAAATCTTGAAGAAATGCGCTACTGCTCAATATGAAGTCATTCATGGAAGATTCATATGTTTATCCTGATGCTGTGATGAAATCGAAGATAAACGCTGAAGCCAAGCTCCTAATGAAGATTAACAAGAAAATACAACTACTTTTTAGGGGGGGTTTGTTGGGCGAATTAGAAAACAAAGCGATAAACCAAGGAGGAGTGTAGCGCCCCATTCCCGGTATGTATTTAAATAAGTTTATTCCTTTGTGAGGAACTCGACTAGTCCATTGCCCGACTCATCGAGTAGAGATGGGATGAGCACGCATATTTAGCCGGTTACTCGGTGAGTCCATACGTGGGACTTGGCGACTTTCCTGTTTGGAGGAAACCCTAATTTTAGGGTTTTGCACCTATTTAAACCCTCTTATGCGCCCAAACTCATCTCTTTCACCTCCAGAGCACCAACTAACAAACCTAGCCATTTTCTTAGTGAGTGTGTGTGTGTGTGTGTGTTTATTGGTTGTGAAGCCATCTTTGGAGTATAAAGGAGAATGAGAAAGTTGGAGAGTTCAAGGAATAGGACGTAGATCCATAATACACACTCTATTGGTTATCTTTTCTGGTATTAAATTCTATACCTTTCTTATTGATCTTATAGATCTATGTTCTCCTTAATTTGTGGTTTCTAAGGCCAAAAACCCCAAATCCCTTATGATTAGGCCTTGTGGTCGGGTTATACCTTAGATCTGGACACTCATGGCATGCTAGAAGTATAAAGTTTTGGTTGTGGTTGTGATTAAAGTCCCTATTAACCCTAGAACCTCATTAAGAGCTTATTTTGGTCATATGAAGCCTTTAAAGCCATGCATGCACGTAAAGTTAGCAACTTTATGTGAAAAACATGCCCTAGAAGTTTAAA